AACACAGTCCCTTGATCTTGACTTCAAACGAAGATCATTCAAACCACGAACCAATCACAAATAGACATGGCATTCAGCATCCACAAGGAGAAAGAAAACGAACTAAGAATCGGCATCGCATTGTGCTCATTCAGGACTTTGGCTCGAACACGGAAACATTCGAGTCATTGCAAAAGGTTTGGAGGCACATTGCACTGTACAATCGATGCGCTCACATTCGGGTCCTGTTCTGCACAGTACTGAATCCGAGAACTTCATTCTCTGCAACCCGCTGAACAAATCCATTTAACATTTAAACAAAGACTTCACAGTTTCCAAAACATGCGGCATTCGATAAGGTATTCCTAAATTTGCTGCAGGCTCCGTGCGGCTCACTTCCCATTCGGGGACATCGCCTTCGAGTTCATTCGAAGGACCACTTCAGCTCCAGGGGTCAATGCATTCGCGACCTGGGAGAGGACAGTCGCCGGTCCCGAAGATGCAGTCGATGCATTCTTCTTCGATGCCATTGCCGACGAGGAGGTCGGGCCATTCCAGGCATTCGCATTCTCTCCATCATCTTCCTCGTACAGCTCATCCCAGGTGGAGCAGTCATGATGCAGTCCAGCGCCATAGGCCTCATTCACACGGAACATTGTGTGTCCCATCAATCGCCGTCCGATCAGGCTGCTGTGGCACAAAGTCGCCAGGCGGTTCCATTATGCCATTTCCGCAAGGCAAAGCAGCGGGAGGGCCATTGGTGCTTCTCATCATCACGTCAGTCAAGGGCATTCGGATGATGCCCCTGCTCCTCATTGACTCATCTGGCACAGTCCAGATCCACTTCCGCAACACCCAAGTGGAACCTCAGTGTTGTCAGGGAAGCCATTCTGGGTGGAGATATGATCAGTGAACTGCCTGTTGAAGTGATTCTCCAACTTCATTTTCCCATTCGATGCTTCGACCCAGTTGCGGTGGGCCTCCAGTTTGGTCCTCCTTCTGACAATGAAGACCACTCCTTCATGGGCTGCATTCTCTTCAAAGCAGTCCTGGCAGAACCCTTGCACAGTTTTGCGTGTTGCTGACAGTGCGCAGAAGCTGCCATTCAGCTGGTGGCAGGGAAACTGTGACAAAGCAATCGTGCCAGTCTGGTAGAGCTCCTCGCCAACATTCGAGGGAAGCATCACCCAGTCATAGACATTCACCAGATCGTGAACGAGGTTCTCCTTGGCATTGGTGGTATTCTTCCATTCCAGGTGCCAGTTCCCTTTGGTAAGGAACATTCTCTCAGCCCTGGTCATTGCATACCTGGCTGTTTCCACCATGCATTCATTCGGGCATTCTGCACCTCATTGATGCCCAAGGAGTGCATTCTCGATCGCAAGCTCGACGTTGGGCCATTCGAGTGCTCATCAGGATGCTCAAATCTGACAGTCCTCCACTCCTTGTCCCAGGAATCACAAAGGACAGGATCGGGGCCCATTCGTCATTCCACTCGCGACGATACACAGCCTCAGCCAGTCCAACCTGAGCATTGTACAGTCGGTCTGCAATCGCACAGGCCTCCGAGACAATCTTGTCACTCTCACTCCGGCTGTCACTGGTGATGAACTCATCCAGTCTCTGCCAAATCTTCGTGACATCCTTTTCGAGGTCCATTCTGGCCAGTGCTGCAGACACTTCTAGGTTGACAGGGCCATTCCTCGACAATCTGTGCGGCGTCAAGGTCTCATTCATCAGGCGCAGTGCCTCAGCAGGGGCGCCATTCTTGCCAACACCCTTGCCAGCAGCGGTGCCGACACTCGGGGCACAGGTCGGCCTCGGTCGGATGCCCATTGCGGCATCAATCGCCTGATTCCCACTCAGCTCTGCATTGGGACTCTCATTCCCAATCTCTGCATCCACAATCAGGACACCGGCATTCTCCGGATTCACTCGAACAGAGGCAGTCGGGCGAACAAAGAACTCGCCAGTCGCCAGTCGCACCATGTCCTGGCGTTCAACCTGCAATCTACCAGTCAGATGGAGCGAGGCCAGTGTGGCCTGCACTCCTTCATTCTTGATCTCGTCAATCGGGCGGCCAGTCAAGGCGGCCAAATCAACGGCCAATTGCTCTCCAGTGATATTCTCATACTGGACTTCCGGAACAGTCGGCATTGTGGACCTGGCCATTGCTACAGTCTAGCAAGGAGGCAGTCGCAGAGGGCACAGTCGCACGAAGGAAAGCAACAATCAGAGAAAACATCCCGGGGAAACACATTGTTCTCATTCGGCAAGGCAATTGTCTCAGACAGTCGCTTAGTAGGCTTCTGCATTATCAACGTGATCAACAGATCAT